CCTGTTGGAGCGAGTCCAGAGGGGACCAGCAACATTGTGGAGAATTGGTTAGCAGCACAGGGACATATGGATAAGGCTAAAGCTATGGACGGGCTGTTAGAGTATAGAACACAGCTTGTCTAGGCCCGTGAGAAAATCTGAGATAGCAAGGCCATGGCAAGATTACAGTCTCCTTGTACATGCTAGTTGGCTGGTAAACAGGAGGCTGTGATTAGCAAAACAAAAGCAACTGAGAGCCACCTGTGTAAACAAAAGAAGGGAGTAGAGGTGAGATCACTATTTAAGTAAGTACCAATAATGAGCTTAGCTTTGCAATATGTATGAGCTAATTATAAAGTGTATATTAAGCTGGTAGCAATGATCAATAAATGAAGCTTGTTGATTCTCGCATCGAGTGTCTCATTCTTCCCTCATCGTGACAGCAAGATGATCAGAGGGATGGAGCAGCTCTGCTGTGAGGAAAGGCTGAGAGAATTGGCATTGTTGAGGTTGGAGAAGAGAAGGCTTTGGGGTGACCTAATTGTGGCCTTCAGTACCTGAAGGGAGCCGACAAGAAAGAGGGGGAGAGACTATTTACAAGGACCTGGAGAGACAGGAAAAGGGAAATGGCTTCACACTGAGAAAGGGCAGGGTTAGATGGGATATTAGGAAGAAATTCTTGACTGTGATGGTAGTGAGATCCTGGCACAGGTTGCTCAGAGAAGTTCTGGCTGCCCCAATCCCTGGAAGTTGTTCAAGGCCAGGCTAGATGGTGCTCTGAACAATCTGGTCTAGTGGAAGGTGTCCCTGTCCATGGCAAGGGGTTGGACTGAGATGCTTTTTAAGGTCCCTTCCCACCCAAACCATTCCATGATTCTGTGACTAGTGGGGGAGGTGGTGGTCGGAGCCATCTTGGGCACAGAGACCCCAAAATGCTGGAGTTTTCCATTCTGGGTGGAGGAAGGAGGGGGCAGCAGAACTGACACCCTGGAGTAAGGGCAGGCAGACTTTGGCCTGTTTGAGAGAATGATTGCTGGAGTCCCTTGGGAGTCAGTCCTGAAGGGTAAAGGAGTCCAGGAAGGCTGGAGGTGCTTTAAGAAGGAAATCTCAAAGCTCCAGGAGCTGTGCCCATGTGTCCTAAGACAAGCCAGGGGGCAAAAAGCACAACTTGGTCAAACAGAGAACTTAGGCTGGAACTCAGGGAAAAAAGAGAGTTTATCACCTCTGGAAGGAGGGGCAGGAAACTCGGGAGACTACAAGGATGTGGTGAGGTCATGTAGGGAGAAAATTCAAAGGGAAAAGGACAAACCAGAACAGAATTTGGCCACCGCACTTACAGACAGCAAAAGATGTGTCTCTGAATCCATGGGCAGCAAAAGGAGGGCTCAGGAGAATCTCCATCCCTTGCTGGGTGGAGAGGGAAGCACAGTGTCAGGGGAGGAGGAAAAGGCTGAGGGACTTAATGCCTCCTTTGCCTCAGACTGTACTACTGAAACCACTTGTCCTCAGGATCCCCAGATCCCAGGGCTGGAAGCTGGTGATGGGGAGCTGAGTGAAGCCCCTGTAATCCAGTAGGAAATGCTCAGTGACCTGCCCTGCCAATTAGACCCCCACAAGGCCCTGGGCCCAGAAGGGATGCAACCGAGTGCACCATCCCATGGCACGGGCAGGACATCCAGGGGATCAGGCCCAGCCAGCGTGGATTTGGGAAAGGCAGGTCCTGCCTGACCAACCTGGTCTCCTTCTATGACAAAATGACCCCCTCATTAGATGAGGGAAAGGCTGTGGATGTGCCTCTCCTGACTTCAGGAAAGCCTTTGAGCCCATCTCCTGTAGGGATGTCCCAGGGATGCAGGGCATGCACTCTGGGTATTGGAGTCCCTGGACAGCACACTGAGGCACAAGAGCAGTGTGTGCTGTGCTGTCACTGAGCAGGTGGGTCACCTGCCACCCGAAGGGTTTTTAAGGGGGCATTTTCCTTTAAATAAAGAGATTTGACTGCTTGCCATCTGAGCTGCTGGGTCGTGTCTTATTATATTATATTAATAAGCCATAAACAACAATCTAATGATGAAAGAAAGTCTGTCTGAATGGCTGTCATAAACCTGTGCACAACCTTGCTTATCTTTAAAGATCCTTTACTTTGTCATTTGGTAACATTTTCACTACCAAATTTTGCTGTGCAAAATTAAAATGTGGCACTGGCATTAGAAATAACATTGTCTTACTGCTCAGTCTTAAATGAGCAGTGAAACTCAGATGCAGTTTTATTATTCTATAACAAAGTATATTTGTTAATATTAGGTGCAACGTGACAATAAAATTGAAAAAGTATAAAATGTGCTGGAAATCGACCTTTTCCTTATTTCTCAGTAATCTGTCACACAAACTCTGTATTGTATTTACTCACTTTCCTGAAGTCTTTCTGCTGGTTTGGACACAAACCTAATTCATCTGTTTGCAAGCAAACTGTTTCAAGTTTAACTGTATTTTTGAGCTGTAAGGTTTATGGGATTTTTCTTTTCTTTCTTTGGTTTTGTTTTTCTTTTCCTTTAAAATGGCATGGATGTCACTCTACACTCTTCTTACTCAACAGCTACACCTACACATCTCTCAAGACCAAGAGTTGTTAGGCTCTCACATCAGAATTCAAAACTGGCTTAAATTAATTGTTTCCATTGGCATTTATTCAAAAAAAGCTAATTCTGGAGGATGGCCATGAAAAGGGAATGCAAAAGGGACACACCTACACCAGCTGGAAATGTAAAAGCTTTCTTGACAAAAAAACCCAACAACCAACCAAAACAAAACCACAGAACAAAACACTCACAGTGTTCAGGGCGTTATTTGCTCAATTCTCTCATTTCCAGTTGTTATGAAGAAAACAGCCAGAGGGGTTTAGAGCCTCAGTCACTGTAAATCAGCACATTGGAACTGACTTTCTTTCAACTAAAGAACTTTGCGGATTCTGGCTCAATATATTGCCAATGGTTTCTATTACTATTATTAAACAAATTCTCTAAGTCTATCCACTAAGTGCTCCTTGTCAGCACTTTCAACTTCTATTCTAAAACAGGTTCCAAAATGCAGGTGAGTCTCTCTATATTCTTGGACTAGATCAGCTGTCCCTGATAGAATACACCACCATTCACAGAAAAAAATGAAGTACATAATACACCTCTCACCTTCACAATATGTTAACTACACAACTGTTTTCATTCTCTAGTTCTTGAAGTTAACAATGTGACAATTTAGAAGCCAAAAAGGACAATTTTGTTAGTAAGAATACTAATGCAAACATATTCTTCTGAACTTCCAGTCCTCAACTGAGATAACAAATCACATTTTGTTCAACAGAGTGTTTGTGGAATTGTTACATGCACAGAAAAAGCACTTTTTCCTACTCACCTCCTGGAGGCCTGACAATTGTTACAGCATCACTTATCAAGCTGCCCTGGCTGTTGGATGCATTCACTTGCACTGTGTAGTGAGAAAATGGAATCAGGCCTTTAATGGGTACCCACACATTGAATTTCTTGCTGCTGCAGAACCTCTGAGTGTCATTTACCATCGAATAATGAGCGTTATCTGTTATGAAAAAACAAGAAAGGGGGGAGAAGAACAAATGTTAGACCTTGTGTCTGCTACAATTCACTGTCTTTAGGAACTAAGTCTTATTCCTACTCAAAAGAAGACTTGTTGTTTATACCAATAACATACACACACACGAAATTTTGGCTATTGGGGAGAAAAAATATTATTCATCATTTCTTCTGCTTTTGGCAACAGTTTATGGTACTTGTAAATCTTGGAAAATAAACCAACAAATCCATGAAGCAATCACGCAGTTGCAGAGCTGACTGCTATATACTGCAAACAGGAGCCAGCTCTCAGAAATTACTGATCTTCTAGAAAAGTTGTGTGATAACTGCAAATTCCAAACGTTAGTGTTAATTCTTGTGCCTATGATACACTGGTAAAAATTTATGAATTCACCAGAAAAATGCTTCCCTTAGGAGTTTATAAGCTAACTCATTGCATACAGCAGAAAAAGTCACCTGCAGTAACACCTGCTTTCCAGCATGGCCTGCAGTCCCCTCAAAGATAAAAGGATTTGAAACATTCAGTTTATCAGTTGAAATCATCAGAGGACACCACAACAACCTACATGTCCTTTGCAAACCTTTTAAGATCTCAAACTTGAAACAAGAGAATATTCTGCCCTACAAAAATAAAGAAACCCTTTCCAAAATACCTACTAAGACTAGAAAATTAAAAAAAATGGTATGTCAAGGAACAATTTTTTTCAAATCAATGAAGAGTTCACTCTTCACATATCTGAGAGCAAAGCAGAGCTCATCTAAAGATTATCCTGTATTTCTAACATATAAAGTACTCTATAAATGATTAATATTATTACTACTGTTCATCATTCCATGGAGAGCTCTCACAGTAAAGTCAAAGGAAATTCTCTGTTACAAACAACAGCAGAATCACACAAGTCTAAGATCACAGGTATGAGAATGAGATTAAACAGTATATAACTATTAAAAATATTGTAAGTGAAGTCAAGCATTGCTACAGGTTGCAGATTGAATATTCACATCTGAGTCCTCTACAAAACCTAGATCAGACAGAATTACAAAACCCTAGAAAATCAATGTTTTAATTAATTTTTTAAGGGAAGCTCCTTAGATTTACACATTTTCATTCAAGTTTTAAATGAGCTGTTAAAACTGAAATGCTATTAAATCTGAAAACAGTTTTCCAATCTCCCATATTTCCATGATCTGCTCTAACACGTGTGTGTGCAGCACATTTCAGTCCTGCTCACAGGACATTTTACCACAGAGGAGTGATCTGGATTTTCTTCTAATTTGGGGATTCCTATAAACAATCTCTGATTTACTTACGATACAAGTCCATGCAATTCCATTATTTTGGTGTTCACAGAGTGGCACAAAGGGTGTTTTCAATGATTCTTCTGGTAACATCTGACACACTTATTTTCTGAGGTTTTGTGGAGGGGGGCAGTTTTGTAAAACTCTTCATAAACCTGCCTTGTAGCCCAGTTCCTTATTGCTTAAATTCTCCCTGGATGACACCGTGCCACAGCGCCAGAGCACCCGGACAGACTCCAGCAGGGTGAAGGTGGAATGGTTTCATGGAGCCTGATGGATTCAGTTTGGATTTCACTGAAGTTTACACAAGACCCAGACCCCGTTTTAGATACAGCAATGAAGGCAAAACTTCTTATCCTGCCAGAAGAACAACCACGTTTCACACATTCCACACACAGAATCCTGCAGGAGCAAAGTTATTTTGTCTGACATTACTCTTATGGACCCAGGCTGCTCAACCAGCACCAGAAAAATGCATCCACATTCCTTGAACTCAGCTCTTCAATTGTACATCAAACCCTCCTTCTGCACCTTTGTGAAACTGTCCCTGGGTGTGATTTGGGAGCAGATACAACCCAACAAAGCACATTTCTCCTGTCATCCATCACAGTTTCTCCAGTGTCTGTGACTGAGTACTTGTGACCATCACACAACAACATGTGACTGTCATATGCACCCATTATTTTATTAACAATAATTAGAAATGGCCAACTGTAGATATGACATATACATTCTCAAGGTTCTAGTGACATGAAACACTTAAGGACTCAGCTGGCTGTGCAAAAAAGATGCATTTTTTAAACATTTCCCCTCCAACGTGTAGGAAAGTTTAAAAATTAGTGTTGACAGATTGGCACATAGGACAGATTCAAACTTTAAGCATAAAAATGGGTTGCCTAGTAGCAATTTATATGCCAAATTCATGTGAAACTTAAACTTTTTCTATCTACAGTACAGTTTTAACAGGTTAATATTTTTATTTTCATCCACATGTGTTTCCTCTGCCGATATTTTTATTCCATTATTAATCTTTCTTCCAATGGCTAACTATACTATATTTAAAAATACAATTTTGAGTAACAGAATATGAATTAAAAGGATAACACTCTATTCCAAGTTGCCTGGATAACAACATTAATAAACAGTAATTATACAATTAGTTGTAACATTAAATTCTAGTTATAGCAGTGTGATTACTCAGCAATTATAAGAAGTATATAATTACTCAATAATTAGGAGAAGTATGTAATTACATCACCATTTGATTCAGCTCAAAAATGAATTTGCAAATTTACAATGAGATAGACAAAACAGCAGCTCAACATTTTTCATTGCTTCTAATAAAAAGCCAAGGAGTATTTGCAAGTTTCCTAACTCGAACTTTACACAGACCAAAGGTGTTTTTATCCCTCTTCCCAGCCAAGCAACTTACTGCTGCTGGCAAGTAACATGTTAGAAGAACATTTTTAAAATGCAGGTCTTGTTGGGGCTGACTTGCAATTTGCAGCTTTGCCACTTCTCACTGCTTCACCTCAGCTTTCAGTGGGCTGCAAAATGCAGACACAGAGGTTCAGCCTGACAGACAGTGACACAGTGATAACCCTGTCACATCATTCCATGCCATTCCTGCCCAGCCTGCCTCAGTGGGGACCCAATTGGTGAGGAGAAGTGGACGAGGCCTCTCTTTTTCCATTTTTCGTGGGTGTTTTTCTCTCCATCCTGCTCACAGGTCCTACTGTAGCCTACCAGCAAGTCTGCTGCAGATCTAAACAGCAGGTGCCTCAGATACCGGGAAAGTCCTAAAAGACATTGTTTACTTCAGACAAGTGGTTTGTACCAGAGCACCTCCTTGTTCCTGCACTCAGCCTTGTCATTGCTGCCAGGAACAGACACCAGCACTCCAACAAGCAAGGTCTCTGCACAACACAGGAACAACCTAAAGAGGCAGAAAACAAAATCCTAGATCTGCTTCACCATGTCCTTCAACACTTAAGCCATTGCAAACAACTGTGCCAAAAGCTGAATTTGAAGGGGAGGAGGCTCAGAGCCACCATCTCCTGTAAGCTGTTAAAAAAGATTAAACCCTTTGCAGACGTGAAGGGCTTCCCGAAGCTCCTTCATCTTTCCATAGTTTTGCATAGTGATGGTTTTGTTCTTTTACTGAGCCTTCCTGCTCAGCTCTCCACAGGTCCCCCAAAGTACCTGAGGGCCTTCTTTCCCTAAGCCTGCTTTTTGAGAAAAACCTCAGAAAAACTCTTCCCACTTAATTCGTAGTTTATACTGAGATCAAAGGATCTCAGTTTTTCAGGAAAAGATCCAAGTGAAGAAATTAGGGCTAAAGAATATCCATATCCACACTTATAAATTGTGGTGGGGTGGGGGCGGGGAGCGGTACCTGCTCTTCCTTGCGGTGCAGGGAGAGTGGCTCCGGCAGGCAAAGTTCTCCCGAGTCCATGTGCGCCCGGCGACAAATCCTCTGTGCGCCCCGCGGGGAAAAGCAAAGTTTCCGTGGTCGACCCTGTGCACTTGGCACGGGAACGCTCGCCAAAAACTTGCCCGCAAGGGCTCAAAGCCCCACCCCGAGCTCATGAATATGCAGCAGGGTGGAACATTTGCATCCCCTGGGACGGCTCATTGGTGGGGCAGCGGCCAATCAGGTGCCAGGGACACAGCAGGCAGAGGGTGGGGGCGGGGAATGACCTTGGAACAAAGCCTTGGAAATCTTTTATCCATACACAGGGTGACTGGAACCATCACCTACATCAGGGTTATCTCTACATGCTGTCTTTGTGCCGTCTGACATCTAATGCATGGTTTTTAAAACAATAGATTTAAAGGGTTGCACTTTTTAAAGGTGCAAGGAACACTCAATTCAACACTCACAGTTAAATAAATAACACTCCAATAAATACCCACATCAGAAAAGCATCGATTTTAAGTCCTGGAAACCAGAAAAGGGACTTTCCACATGGGTGTCCTGTCATCCAGAACTAGAAGGGAAGAATTCAATAGAATAAAGAAGTATATAAGTGTTCTGTCCAAGATCAAGGTGAGATTCTCTCTCTTCTAACATTTCTCTGACCTAGGAAGCAAGAATTTGGCACAGAATTAATACCAGAGATAAATAAGACCAGTGAAACATCCTGAGCTCAGGAGAACCTGACTGTGCTGGGGAATCAGAGCTTTCACCCTGGGATATGAACTGCTCTGAAAGAGTGGGAAGAAACCAGGAACAAAGGCTGAGTTCAAATGTTCAAGAATAAACAACTCCTTCCTCACCAAAAGGTCTGAGTTACCCTGAACTCATCTCTAGACATCCATGGAAATAAAACAGCCTGACCTTGAACCCAAGGGAAACAAAGACAAATTCCACGGTTTTAGCTGGAGCAAGGTTGGGGGGGGGATGTGTCCCTCCTCTATGACATCACATGCTCCCCATGACATCACATTCTTCCTGTGACATCACACCTCCCCTATGACATCACATCTCCCCTATGACATCACATCCATTGTATGACATCACATATCTCCTGTGATACCATATCATCACTGTGACGTCATGTCCTCCCCCGTGACATCACAGCTCTCCTGTGGCATCACACCTCTACTGTGACATCACATCTCCTCTATGATGTCACAACGATCATATGACATCACATCTCCCTTGTGACAACCCGTGATCGCCTGTGACATCACAACTCCCCTGTGACATCACATCTTTCCTGTGACATCTCAGCTCCCCTATGACGTCACATCCATCATATGACATCACATATCTCCTGTGATATCATATAATCCCTACGACATCATGTCCTCCACTGTGACATCACATCTCCCCTATGACATTGCACCTCCCCATGACATAAGAAATCCCCTGTGACATCTTCTGCGATATCATATCATCCCTGTGACATCCTGTGCTCGCCTGTGACATCGTATCCTCCCTGTGACAGCACACCTCCCCTGTGACATCACATCTCCCTTGTGATATTACATCCCTGTTGTGACATCACATCTCCACAATGATGTCACATCCATCAAGACATCACACCTCTCTTGTGAAATCATATCATATGACATCACATCCTTCCTGTGACATCACACGTCCTCTGACATCACACCTCCTGATGACATCACAGCTCCCCTGTGTTATCACATCATCCCTGTGACATCACGTGCTCCCTTATGACATCACATGCTCCCTGTGACATCACAGCACCCCTGTGACATCAAATCCTTCCTGTGAAATCATATTGTCCCTGTGACATCACATCTCCCCCATGACTTCACATCCTTCCGGTGACATCACATCTCTCCGATGATGTCGCATCGATCATATGACATCATATCCACCCTGTGACATCACACCTCTTCGTGACATTACAGATCCCATATGACATCACAGCTCCCCTGTGACATCACATCCCTCTTGTGACATCATGTCCTTTGTGTGACCTCACAGCTCCCCTTATGAGATCACATCCTTCCTGTGACATCACAACTGCTCTATGACATCACATCCATCATATGGCATCACATCTCCCCTGTTACATCACATCTCCTCCATGACATCGCACCTCACCTGTGATATCATATAATCCCTGTGACATCACGTCCTCCCCTGTGCAACCACATCTTCCCTATGACATCACATCCATCATACGACATGGCATCTCCCTTGTGAGATCACATCTCTCCGGTGACATCACATCATCCCTGTGACATCATTACATCATCCCTTTGACATCACATATCTCCTATGACATCACACCACCCCATGACATCACAGTTCCTATGTGATGTCACATCCATCATATGACATCACATCTCTCCTGTGATATATCATCCCTGTGACATCACGTGCTCCTCTATGACATCACATACTCTCCGTGACATCACAGCTCCCCTGTGACATCACATCTTTCCTGGGACATCACATCCTTCTTGTGACATCACATCTCCTCTATGGCATCACATCCATCATATGACATCACATTTCCCTTGTGATATCATATCATCCCTGTGACATCACGTCCTCCCCTCTGACATCACATCCTCCCCATGACATCGCACCTCCCCTATGTCACATTTCCCTATGATGTCACATCCATCATGTGACATCACAGCTCCTCTATGACATCACACCTGCCTTGTGACATCACCTCCTTCCTGTTACATCACACTGTCCCTGTGACATCACATCCAGTGACATCCAGATTCATCCCAAGGTTGGGGGTGTGTGTGAGACAGTCAGAACCACAAATGCCTGCACACCCCAGAGCAGTCAGTGTGGTGCTGTGCTTGCTGCTGCAGAGACCCCCAGGCAACAAACCCAGGCAGTAGTTTGGGGGGGTGTGTGGACACTTGCCTTATTATTGCTTATTATTTGTAATATCTTATAGATCTATCATACAACACCCAAGGATGGATTCTATAGAATATGTGCCATAGATATTTGTGTTGGGTCTGGCTGAGCTGCAGTTCAGTTCCCCACAGCAGCCCTCCCAGGGCTGTGCTTGGCATTGGCAGCTGGAAGGGTGTTGAGAACACACCAGTGTTTTGCCCACTGCTGAGCACAGTGCCAACACTGGGACATTCCTTCCTTAGCTGAGGGCAAGGTCCTGGGAGGGGACCCAAGTAGGCCAGCTGACCCCAAATGACCAAAGGGATGTTCCAGGCCATGTGAGGTCAGCTCAGCTCTAAAAGCTGAGGCACAGAGCAGGAGGGGGGCATTCATTGTCTAATGGCTGCCTGCTGAGGAACCGTCCCGTGGACCCAAACCCTGCTCCTCGGGAGTGGCCGACCATGGTTGCTCATGGGGAGCAGAGAACAAACCCTGCTATCTTTGGCTTTAAATAAACTGTCTTATCTCAACCCACTATTTTTTTTTCCACCTTACTCTCTCCCCCGTCCTGCTGGGAAGGGGAGTGATAGAGTGGCTGGGAGGGCACCTGATGTCCAGCCAAGGTCAACCCACCACACACCTGAACACTTCCAGAGACTCCACCACCTCCCTGGGCTACTTCTTCCAATGCCTGAACATTCTCTCAGTGGAAAAAGGGTTCTTTCATATCTAATATGAACCTTGCCCAATGCAATTTAAGGCCATTCCCTCACAACCTTTCACTATAGCCTTGGCAAAAGAGACCAACCCCCACCCCACTAAAAATCTCCTTTCAGGTCATTGTAGAAAGCAATGAGGTCCCCCCTGAGCCTCCCCTTCTCCAGACTCAACAAGCCCAGTTCCCTCAGCCGTCCCTCAGCAGACATGTTTTCCAGAGCCTTCCCCAGCTCCGTTCCCTTCTCTGGACACGTTCCAACCACTCAAGGGCCTTTTTGCACTCAGGGGCCAGAACTGGACACAGCACTCGAGGTGGGGCCTCAGCAGTGCCCAGCACAGAGGGGCAATCAGTTCTCTGCTCCTGCTGGCCACACTCTTCTCCACAAAGGCCAGGATGCCCTTGGCCTTCATGCCCCTCTGGGCACACTCTGGCTCATATCCAGGCGCTGTCAAGCAGCACCTACAAGTCCCTTCCTGCTGAGCAGCTCTCCAGCCCCTCTGCCCCACCCCTGGAGCGTTCCAAGGGGTTGTTGGGAGCCAAGTGCAGACCCTGACACTTGGCCTTATTGATCCAGCCTGTCCAGAGCCCTGTGCAGAGTCTTCCTGCCCTCCAGCACATTCACACTCACACCCAGCGTGGTGTTGTCCACAAATTTACTGAGGAGACTGGAAGGCCACAATTAGGTCACCCCAAAGCCCTCCCTTCTCCAGCCTCAACAATGCCAATTCTCTCAGCCTTTCCTCACAGCAGAGCTGCTTCATCATCTGATCCTCTTGCTACTCCCCTCTGGACTCGCTCCAACAGGTCCATGTCCTTCCTGTGCTGGAGCCCAGAGCTGGAGGCAGCTCTGCAGGTGGGGCAGCATTACAGCTACGCATGTTCCAGCAAGGACATTGTGGAACCTCATGGAACCAAGGACCATTGTGACACTGCAGGGCCTTCTGGAGCCAAAGGAGCCCTGGGACACTATGGAATCTCATGGAATCAAGGCAGCACTGTCACCTTGGGAAAACTCCTGGAGTTCAGGGCCCATTGTGACATTGCAGATCCCCCATGGAACAAAAGGAACCCTGGGGCACTGCAGAAACTCATGGAAGCAAGGGACCATTGTGACATTGAGGGGGCTGATGGAATCAGGAGTCCATTGGGACAATCCAGGGCCTCATGAAATCAAAGGAATTCTGGGACACGGTCAAACCTCCTGGAACCAAGGGTTCCTGCTGACATGCGTGTCCTCCTGGAACCAAGGGAGCCCTGAGATATTTCTGAACCTCCCAGAATCCAGGGGCCATTGTGACCCTGAAGAACCTCCTGGATTCAAGTGGTCCTTGTGAAACTGCAGACTCTCCTGGAACTCAAG